CTTGTAGGAGAAGCTAACCTTGACCATGGTTCACTTAAGAACCATGGTAAGGTCAGCGTAACCTACTAAAGTTTAGAAACTTGGAAGGAAAGCTTCAAAACTTGAAGAAGGAACTAGTCAATTTCGGCCAAGAACTAAGACACAAGCTAGGCGGCCAAGGCTCCAAATTGCTCCATGATTTATTTTGAAATTCTTTGATTTGGTTTAGTTAGGTTCATCATATGATGATGAGACCTAGCTAAATCAAATTTATGAAAAATTAGGAGCAAAATGAGTTTAATATGCAAAATTTTGCCTAGGCCCAGTTCTGGCCCAATTACTAGTCACACCCTTAAGCATTGCTAAATGCCACCCCTTTTTCCCTACTGAAAAAAATATAAAATGAACGTATCATCAAAGGAGGTTAAATGCAGTTAAAATCTCCAAGTAACCCACCCTAAAAACAATATACAATCACTAATAAAAGCATGTAAAGTGCCTCACAAATACAAAGGCAAAAATAAGCATATACAAAGAGACTACTATATGTACAAACATATGAAAAGGTCTTTAAGATCATCCCATTCCTCTTGGTTCTTTTAAGATATCACCTCTTGGATTCCTTGGCCTTGGCCATAGTCGGAGAAGTAGATGAATGACACGGATTCCGATGTTGCCCCCTTCCATGTGAGTATTGTGATACCTCTCCAAGTGTCTTTTTGTGGTAGGTTGGTAAGAGTTTGGTATTGTTTTTGTCAATGTGAGTATTGTAATGCCTCTCTAGGCGTTTGCTTATGGTAGGTTTTTTCTGAATTTTTTATTTGTTTTGCTTCGGCTTTTTTCTTGTTTGAAACTTGCCTTTTTCTGCTATTTTTCTAAATGCTTCGGCTTTTTAACATGTACGAAGCTTGCCTTTTTCCGTTATTTTCTTAAATGCTTCGGCTTTTTTATGGAACTGGTACTGGCACTGACACAGGTGCAGATGCTGATGGGGTGATAGACTATGGCCAAGGCCAAGGAATCCAAGAGGTGATATCTTAAAAGAACCAAGAGGAATGGGATGATCTTAAAGACCTTTTCATATGTTTGTACATATAGTAGTCTCTTTGTATATGCTTATTTTTGCCTTTGTATTTGTGAGGCACTTTAC